TCTTGAAATAATAACCTTGAAACAAATGTCATAGGACGTTTGTTTGATCTTCCTCTGGTGGTGCTTTAGGGTGTGGTTGGGTGCAGGGTAGACATCTTTCATGTAAAAGAGAATCTGGTTGCATATTACAGTTAGATGATGCAGAAATTGTCTGGTGCAGAGTTTTGCCATCTTCTTGTAACAGTCAAATCTGAGTGTGTTTTCTGATTCTGGAAGAATGGGATTCTTCCTGTAAGGGAGTTATTGCTCACAAGTAGAGAGACATTTGGCTGATTTGATCAACAGAGCAGTGCATACAAAATTGCTTTCCAAGCCAAGTATGCTGTTAGGAATCTGAGTCTCTCTTTCAGGTCACTATTTTAATTTTAATGTTAATGGACTAGAGTGTGCTGCTTTTCAGGAGATGTAATCATGTTAGAGAGTTTCAGTGGCCCCATATTGTTTTATGAGGTATAATGAAGTAGGAGGCTTATGATCAAAGAGCATTATTCATCTTATTAATTGCCATATTTACAGAATTACTGATTAAGTAGTTTATAAGCCATCTGGGAAACCACACCTGCCCTGGTACACAAAAAAAACACCTTTTAAATCAAAGCAACTGAGGACATGAAAGTCCTACCCTTTCATCCTCTGCTTGATCCTGGTGCAGTAGTAATGGTAGCTTTGTGCTTGTTAAATTAGGTGGGTATATTCTTTCCCTTTTCACTTGTAGAGATGATTAGAAAGCTGTGTGTAGGATCTCATTGTCCCTATGTCACTGACATTGTGGTCCCTTCTTTGATGGTGGAAAAAACAATGGACAGCCCATATTTCTGCTGTCACTCCAGCCCAGAAATGCTGTACGACAGACTAAACAGCCAGTGAGATGTCTGGGGAAAGATATAAGTGAGCTGTTTCCACTGCACTGTTAGCAGCCAGACACTGCCAGGTGAAAAATCCTGTTCAAATGATAGAGAAATGATTACAGGATTGCCTATTTTTTGTGTTAACGTTGTGATTCGAGACTAAATTAAAAGCATCATGCTGCCTCCCTCACAATCCCAGTTCCAGTCCTAAAGTCAACAAGGGAACATACTTAATGCAAAGTGCTTCCAGGAACATGAAGTAAACAAAATACTACTACTACTACTACTACTAAATACTATGTATATATTTTCTTGTCCTTCAGCTGAAATAATCTTAAAGGTTACTTTAAAGCATAAATTAATTTGGAATTTTCCCTAAGTGTCTTCTTTCCAGCCTCACCTGGGCAATCTGCCTTGACTAATTTCTCAACTCAAATGACTATATTTTGTGTTTATTTCTTCTCTCACTTAGAAATAGAATGGTATCTCTTTAAAGAGACTTTTACACTGTATAGTCAGGATAGCAAACTTAAGATATTGCTAGTTCGAATTTAAAAATGTGCAACCTTTATTCCATCCTGATGGCAAATGAGACTGTAAACATGTTATGTGTGATTAGTTAGCATTTTTTTCCTCTTTACTTCTGTTTCATTCACTTCACAAAACAAATAGCATTTCCTATGTGTAGAATATATCTCACCCAGCTTCTGCAGTCTGAAAATTACTGTCTGTATGGTCTCCCTTTCTGCTGAATGGAAGGAGGTAGGCACTCTCAAATAGTGATTCTGTCTGTCTTTAAATAGGTCCAAGACAGATGTGATGAGTTCTCTTCTTAGAGACTCCTATATTTCTCTGCTGACCCACAAGGGAACAGAGGCAACCTGCATACATCAAATGTCTCCCTTTCAGACAGCTAAAATTAGGTGAAATATATCTCCTCCTCAGCAGTGTTCTTCATTGTTCAGTGTACAGACCGATGCCACACTTTCTGTCATGCTACTGAAATCCATCAGCAACCAAAGTGTCCGTTACCTCCATGGGCTTTGGTTGTCAATGGAATATCTAAGAGTGGAGGTTATCTCACCAGCTATTGACCTTTACTAGGTGAGGTTTAGCATGCAACCTGACCATCCTAAGCTCTTTTTATGTCAATTGAGAGAACCATGAACTTTTAGCATCCGTTTTAATATGCCTGTGTTTGCCCCTATGTGCCTATCTGAATAAGAGTCTGTTATTGCCCTGTCTAGTGAGCTGATATTTAGATGATGCTCTCATCGGATGAACTCCATGTGAAATGCTCTGAAAACATGAATTAGTTTGTTTCATAACTCCTTTTAAGGAAAGTGGAGGTAATGTCTGAATTTGACACAAAACAAACATTTGCTGGTTGTGAGTGTGGACTCTGGCACATCTAGGGTTTAACTTTCCCATGGACCTACATGGCATTTTCCAAAGAACAACCCTCATTCATTCTTTAATGAATAATATATCAAGAAATTTGCAATTTGGTGATCCATAGCCTGAATAAGAAAAATCCTATTATAATTTACTTGTGTGCTTTGTCCAATGCTGAATGCAAATGAGATAGTCTAAGTTGTGAGCATGACTTATAGCAAGTTCTGTTTGCAAAATAGTTTTAGTCACCTTGTGTATGTTTTATGGTGTTATTTAGGCTTTCTAAACTGCATGTTGTTAGGAAATATCAGCCCCCCCCAAAAAAAATAGATTGATTAAACCTTATTCTTGTTTCCATTAGAAGAGCATGGTAGTGTGCTCACCTTCACAGTTGCTCGTGATGTGAACATTAACTCGAATTGTCAGAAAAACATGAGAGAAAATTTGGGTCTGAGTGAATGATGGGAAAACTAAGGAAGATTCCCAAATTCTTGTCACTGTATCTTTCACTTGCATATTTTGATCAATAGAGCTTTACAAGATCCATGAGTTGAACAGTACTCCACAGCTTGAGGACTCCGGTGACTTGACATGATAACATCACTTGGGCAGCATTTCAGCCTTCACCATCCACTGCTCAGCTCCTGTAAATGGTTAACAATTTCCTTTCCCAGTCAGTGTGGTCTCTTCTTACTAGCAACGCTCAACTGCCTTCCTCACATTTCTGTGGTTGGTGTAGATAAGGGATATGTACTGCATGGTCTAATGAGCTGTAGGAGGGCTTATATGGACAGGTCATACTAGTTTTTATGTGATAGCCAGGAGGGAGCTCTCATGTTCTGGTTGGGCCTATTTGCTATAATTTACAGCTGCAATAGTGGCTGATTACAGTATGTCAGAAAGGTGTATCACTAGAGTTGCATGAGGCCCTGGAGCACCTTAACTGCCTTACTTGCCCTCCTGAATGTCCAGTAATAGCTGAAAATAGAGTGGACAGGAGGGAAAAGCTGTTGACAGCCAGAGAAGTAACTGTAATACAAAAGGCCTCAACTTGGCAGCAGGCAAACATTTCTGTCTTTGCAAACAATTAAGATTATATTTCCTCAGAAAAAGCTATTTCTTCAGAAAAAGTTCCATGATGGAAGCTTTGTGTTTTATTTTCTGTCTGCTGTCACATCTTGATTTGCCTTGGGACTGCCCACACAGGTTTTCTGCACCTATTTATTAATATAAATTTGAAGAATAATATCATTAAGTGATTGTCTTTTCCTGTTGCAGCTGTTCTCAAGCCTTGCAGTGACTTTCAGTCTGAAAGGCTCATGAGGGCAACTAAGAAACCCAAGAATATTAGTGTCTAAGTTCACCACATAAAAATGTTTATCTGGCCTAGAAAAGTTTTAGAAGATCACTAACTGAACAAAGTTTAAAGCACTACCATAGTTTAAAAATAATTTATCAAAATAAGCTATTCTAATATCACCAGTTTTGTGTGCTGGAGTTACACACACAGGAGTTAATATGTGTAGTTTTGCATGTGTGAGGGGATAAGAGGTTGGAATAGTCCAAATAAAAGAAAAACACAAGTTCTCTGCTCAGTTGCTCACAACCTACCTTTTGCAGTGTCTTTGCCTCTAACTCCACAGTGTGTTTGGTTCTGGGAGAGGCTATTAATTTGGATGTCTCTCTGTGGAGCCAGTTTGGAGCTAAAAGCAGGATGATTGCATCCACACAGTACTGCACCTCTAGGAACTGGATGCATTCAGGAGCACGGCACAATTATAACCCCACTGTCCCTGGCAGGGTTTAGCAGCTGGGACTTCATGTAACAAAAGGATGGGTTTGTTGTGGCTGGGACCATAATGATGCTGGAGCTGCATAGACCCATGTGTGTGGTTTATGACTGAGCTAATGAACCCTGTAAGAAAAAAAGTCAGAAGCTTTACACATATATCTACAGTCAAGTTTAATAGCTCATGATAATGATGGACTAATGGTGGATAGTGATTAGACTAAGACTAAGTCATATTAAAATGATACCAAAAGTGTATGTAGTCAAGTGTCTTGGACTAGTGGTTTTCAACAAAGTCATGCACCTATTAAAGGAGATCCAGAGGAAGGCCATGAAAATGCTCAGAGGGCTGGAGCACCTCTGCTATGAGGACAGGCTGAGAGAGTTGGGGATGTTTAGCCTGGAGAAGAGAAGGCTCCAGGGACACCTTCTCATGGCCTTTCAATGTATAAAAGTGTCTTATAAGAAAGATGGAGACTTTTTACCAAGGCCTGTAGTGACAGACAAGGGACAACATTTTTATACTGAAAGAGAGTAGAGTTAGAGTTGAGGTAAGAAAAAAAAAAAAATTATGATGAGGTGGTGAGACAATGGAAGAAGTTGCCCAGAGAGGCTGTGGATGCCCCCTCCCTGGAAGTGTTCAAGACTTGGTTGGATGAGGCTTTGGGTTTAATGAAATATACAGCATTTTCAGGGTGTTGTGGCAAGGCAAACAATATCTACTGATTTCTGGAGAACTCTGTTATAATCTCTCCAGGACCTGTTACAGTTTGAATTTATGTTTGTTTTTGAGTTTTTGGACTAAGCACATTATCCCATGTCAGAATTTTGTTCTGACTTTCCCCAACAAGAACAAGGTTGATCTCTGAAGTGCTGTGTTTATTGGCTAAGATAACTACCTAAGTACAGTTGAAGACATGTCCCACTGCCTGATCAATGTCTTGTATTTACACTTCCATTATGGACAGGATTTGACCTGATGGATTCATTCAGCGTGAAACAGATTTTTGGAATGAAAGAAAATGGAATTCAGAGTGCTTATGTACGACTTGGAAGCTTCCCTGTTGTTCAGAAAACTGAGTGAGTACCTTGATTTTTCACTTCATTTTCATCTGAGCCTCTGCTTTACATTATTTGGTTCCTCTAGGTTAACCTTGAGTAGTTATCTAGTACTTACACATATGTTGCTGCTTTGATCAGCTCTTTCAGTTTTGCTGGCACAGAATTTATACAATGTGGTTGGGAGCCTCCACCTGAACTGTAGGCTCCATCCTGGTAGAGTATGAGCTGGTTTTGGTGTATCTCAGTGGTTGGGAGGAACAATATCAAGAAATTCACAAAACAACTTAGGGCTTAATAAATAGCTTCTAAAAGGAATATTTGGTAGCACTGCCATTGAGATATATATTTGTTAATCACAAGAGACCAGTTTCTAGTAGATATTATCAATTACCTAATATGGGTTTTGGCCTCATAAAAGAATGAACAATTTTTAATCCTATGACAACATGAATTGAATCCTTGGAGCCTTTTATGACCTAAGGCTGCCAGTTATGTCATAGTCTGTCAGAACAGTTTCTCTTTGGGTTGTCACTTGAGTCCTTCTAGCATTAGCCTTGAAAAGAGTGAGTGCATAATTTCGCTGAGTAACCATGAGCCATAGATTGAATTGTCATCATTAACATTTTTGCAGTATATTTCTCTCTGCTGGTTTGAATTTCAACTTAAAAAATCAATAGTAATTCTTTTCCTTCTTATGGATAAAGTCAGTTATTTTTTATTCTGTTTTAGCTCTTTTACACCTCTCACTGTATCTTTGAGATTGTCCTGTGACTTACATTTTCTTGATTTCACATTATTTTTTTCATCCCGAAGCCAACCTGAACTGATTTTCCATTCTCCCCTCCCTCTCTTTCTGCATATAAACACACAGTCTTTTAAAAAAAAAAAAAAAGTAAAAAGATGATATACTGAAAGGAAAACTGTTTGCTCTAAAGTCCATAAATGATGTCAAGTCTCAGGGTAAGTAAATTCATGATCTGGGAGAAGGCCAGCCGCCAACTAAAGACACCTTGGTCTTGATGAGTAGTGTATACATAACTGATGTGTGTGGGGTGGGGAATAAACCTGTTTTTTTTTTGGCTAACAGCAGCATCTGGGTAGAATCTCTGCTTGCTGCAGCTTGTAACAGCTAGTGGTAGTGTGCTTTATCATTGTAAAGCATTACCACCAAGACTACATAGAGAGAAACACCTGAAGTGAAGAAGTCCAGTTTGCACTTTAGTTCTGGCAATGACGATCTACTGAATCTGAGCTCTGGGTGATACTATGACAAATAGGACTAGTGCAGTCCTTGGGTGTATAAGCAGGAACCGCCATGTATGAGCTGACTATACCAATATCCATATAGAATTCATATAGAATGGTTTAGTTGGAAGGGACTGTAAAGATCATCTAGTTCCAAACCTCCTGCCATGGACAGGGACACATTCCACAAGACCAGGTTGCTCAAAGACCCATCCAACCTGGCCTTGAACACTTCCAAGAGAGGGAGTATCCACAGGCTCTTAGGGCAACTAGTTCTCACCATCCTCACAGTAAAGAATTTCTTCATAGTATCTAATCTCAATTTACCCTCTTTCAGTTTAAAACCATTACCCCTCATCCTATCCCTACATTCCCTGCTAAAGAATCCTTCCCCATCTTTCCTGTAGGCCCCCTTTAAGTACTAGAAGGCCGCTATAAGGTCTCCCAAGAGCCTTCTGTTCTCCAGGCTAAACAACCCCAACTCTCTCATCCTGTTCTCATAAGGAAGGTGCTGCAGACCCCTGATCATCTTTGTGGCCTCCTCTTGACCTGCTCAAGCAGGTCTATGTCCTTGTTATGTTGGGAGCCTCAGAGCTGGACACAGTACTCCAGGTGGGTTCTCACAAGAGTGGAGTAGAGGGGGAGAATCATCCTTGACCTGCTGGCCACAATTCTCTTCAGGCAACTCAGTCACAACTGCTGGGATGCTATCCCTAATCCTTGTCTCCATTATTCAGTAGATAGAAATGGAGTAGATGAAAGTTTAGAGAACTGTGAAGCAAGTGTAACAATGAGAAATTAAAGAAGTGCAGTGTAGTCAGATAAAATTAAGAAGCAGTTAATAACTGAGGTGATGGCTCTCTGTAAGAACCTCTGGGAAACCGAAGTTTGGTAAAGGGTCTTTGTTGCTAGGGATAGTGGTAGACTGAAAGTCAGTGGCTACCTGTTAATGACATCAAAAAAAGCATGGAAGAAAGGTACACTTTTAAGTATTAGTATAATTAACCTATGGAACAAGTTAGCACAGATTAGAGAGTTATCCATTTGAATTCCGTTTTCAAATTAAGGGTTGAAGTACTTCATTGGTGTTGCTTCTGTTGTTGTTTTCTCAGACTGATGGAGTGAAGCCAGACCTACCAGTTATGATGAATTTCTGTCTGCTCAGATTGCACCTATTTATTTGTTGTTGTTGTTTTTAAAATAAGTAAAATATTTAATTGTCCAGGACAATAAGAAGTAAAACATCATTAATTAGTTGATTGAAATGACTAAGAGTCCTTCTGAATGATTAACTGAAACATGGAATTAAAGCAGAACTTTCATATTTTCAGCCTTTTGTATTTTATCTTCCATACTCTGGTGGTTTGGGAATTAACCCAAGTGGATATAACACCATGGAAGGTGTCTGCATATTTGGTTCATTTTAGCCTCTGGATGTCAGGATTCTGAGATGGTGCATATCGGATCATTGTTCACAGAAAATGAAATCTTGTAAAGCTGCACAAAACTGATAACTGGAATAATAAACAAAACAAAAACATCTGTCCTGTCTTGCAGATAACCTCAAGCAATGTTTAGCAACTGATAGCAACATCTCATAATTAGATACAAAATCATTAACTGAGTAATATATGTAATTCACTTTATTATCTGCTTAAAGAATTCGTATCCTTTTATATAAGCACTAGTACTTTTTACAAAGTGCCAGCTTAGCTGACTGGGAAATGTGACTATTTATCTTCCAATCTAAAGCCTACAACTATGAACTTTTTTCCACTTTGTGGTGAGGCTTCTTGTGATGGTTCTGTGAGCAAGAAAACACCTTGCCAGGAACCTGGCCACAGTCAATATCCTGGTCACTGGGGAACTTACAGGTCTCTCTAGCTGTCTGAGGGCTGGTCCATAAATCTGGCTGGTGCTTCTCCCCACTCCTCAGGTAACTGGGGCTGTCCTACTGTTTGCTCACAACTCCTTAGTGAATCTTCTAGCCAAAGCTGTGCCCCAGATTTCTGGTTTTTGGTACTCAGGCTTGTTTCTCGTAAGTGTTTTCTTGGCTAATGCCAAACTTTTGACTCACTATCTTGTTCTGTCCTCCATCTATTTGCCCTAGTCCTGACTACACAACCCTCCTCCTGGCCATGTCCATCCTCAATTTTCTCTTGTCTAGTTGGGTTTCATCCTGGCTTGGTTTTCGTCTCAGCTGCCACTTCACAGAACTTATTGATGCTTGGCCTAGCTTCTAGTCATGATCTGTTTGTGCTTTATGTTTGTACAGTGTTTTCTTCCCCAGTTTCTGAGTCTTGGGTTGTTTTGGGCATGTATACCTTGGTGTGATTGTCTGGGGACTGTCTCCTGACATCAACACTGAATTCAGTTACCTGCCTTGGGTTTCCCTGTGAGCCCTTGTCGTGTTTTCATCATTTGTTCTGCTCCACGGAGAAGAAAATTCTACACAAAACTACCAACACCTCCTAAACTAAACATGAAACCCATTGAATGTTTCCTCATTCCTTACTTATTATCAAACATATATTTCATATGAGGAACAGCAGTGACAACAGATTCTTCTGCTTAGAGAAGAAAAGGCTCAGGTGGGGATGTTATCCATGTGTATAAATACCGGATGGAAAGGAAGCAAAGAAGGTGGAGCTAGAACTTTCTCAGTGGTATCCATTGGCAGGACAAGAAGGGATGAGAACAATTCAAGAACAAAGAAATTCAATCTGAACGCAAAAAAAAGCCATCTTTAGACTAGATGATCTCAAGATGTCCCTTCTACCCTCAGTGATTCTGGGGTTTATAATTCAGTGTTGCATCCTCTCACACTCTCTGACAGCCCTGTCTTTCCCTTTCCCACTCTCTTCCCCCATACCAGAGGCAGCTCTTAGGCTTGGTCTGTGACCTGTCCCAAATTTCTCAAGGTGTTGGAGTTGGAGAAAGACCAAGATACTGTGCTGAAGTCAGGAATGAGACACATAACTCCTTGCTCTAAGAAAGTGGTGAGAGAAAACTCCCAACTGAAGGAACTTGCTGTGGCCCCTATCTCATGACCTCTATTGCCAGACAAGTGCTTGTCATGTAGAAGAATAAATATATCTGTCCAAATCTGCTGTGAAGTGAGTAAGAATATGTCTATTAGGAGTACACCTGAGGAGTTCTTTCTAGGCTACTTTATTAGCCAATGAAACAGGGTAAATTCATGGGACCCAACACAGACCCATATCATTTGTGCTTTTCACCTGTTTATGTGCTCATGTCAAGTTAGTTTTGTTTGATGTTAAGCAATGTTATCCCAAACAATGCCTGGACCTGATGCGGAAGATGGAGCATGCCAGAGACTGTTCTCCAGAGGCAGTTTGGATGCAGTCATTCTCTTTGGGAAAGGAGCATTTGGCTGAGCTGCACTCATAGACAGTGAATTGACCCTGACCATTCTTTACTAGTGTGGATATAGAGTCTCCTACTTCTAACGAAATAAAGGAGATTAAGCATGGCTGAGGTAGAATGACTGAAGATGTTTTTGGTGTTTTAGAAAGTAAAATACTGAGGGGAGAGCTGATAAACATACAAAAGGCTGCAACAAAGAGAGAAGAACAGGTTGTTCACATGGTTCCCTGTGGAAAAAAGTTGTTTCAAGAAGATTAAACTTCATCAAGTGAGATTTAGGATAGTCTTTTTTTGCATTATGTAGGATAGTGAAACACAGAAAGAAATTACCTAGACAGGTTGTATGTATTCCAACACTGAGATTTCTGAAATAAAGACCAAAAAAATGTCTGCCAAGAATGTATGGGTGGGGTTGATTCTGTGTTATGACAGTCCTTCGATAGCCTTTTCTTTTCCTTTTTTCCTTTTCCCTTTCCCCTTCCCCCCCCCCCCCCTTTTTTTTTTTCTGTCATTCTTAGATCCTCTGGTGATGTGACTCATATGGAAATGAACTGGCTTTCTTCAACCTTGTTTTGCAGACCTTAGTGAGATACATTTCACATTAGTGGTTTTTAGCTGTTGTAAAAGTGGTCAAATTTCTCAAATACATTAATTATGCACTTCCTCACCAAATACAGACACCCTGTTAGTTGTTGCTACATTCAGTGTCTGAAATGAGAACTGATAGTCTTATTTTTCTCCACTGTGTTATTATTACAGATGTAGGATCTCATGCTGATTGTCACAGATGTAGGCTCTTGTGACAAACAAAAGCATGTAAGGAGGCTATATATTGAAAATGGGCAATGGTTACAAGAGTCTTCTGCCTGTTTATTATCATTTTTTCTTTGTAGAAGTTGTGATTCACCTAACCTTGTAGCTGGGTTAATTAACTCTTAGACTAACCTGCAGAACCAGGGGATTCTCTTGTCTTGCAGTTTTATAAGGACCTCTTCTGCAATTTATCGTGTTGTCAGAATTATAGACCAAGGAGCTGGCAGACTGCTCCCTGTAGGTATCAGGCACCCAACAAAGCTCCATAATATGGATCATCAGTTCAATTCAGCTTTGTGTGAAAGAAAGAGATAAAACATTTCTGGGGACAGCAATTCTTGCCCTTGGATTCCTAAGTAAAGCTGAACTTCTAGATGGATATCACAATTTTAGCAAGGAAATAAATGAAAACTCAAAAACAAAGTTTTTGTTATTTATGCAGCAATACATCTCTGTAAAAGATTCAGGGACCAAATACTTCAGAAACAGCTTTTATTATATCTTCAGAGCAAGGAGACTGTCTTTGGATTTGCTTTTGGCATGAAGCCTTTCTCTGTCGGGAACTTTCAGCCAGTTCTTTGGCACCTTTAAAAATCAGTTAAGGGTGACAGGTAATAGGTCATTATAGCTTTCTATTAGTTTAAATCTGCTTGATGGGCCATTTGTCAGCCTCTGTGTGATGAAGTGTGCCCAGACTCACAGGGATATTTAGGTACCTAACTATCAGTTATTTCTGTGGGCATTAAGCATCTGAAAACCCTTTTTGAATTTAATCTCACATGGTGGTATTCCTGTTCCCAGCTCAGAGGTATCCAGAAGGACCATCTTAGCACAGAGGCCAGGAGTTGGCTCTTTCAGATTTGGTTGTAAGATGTCAGGCCCAAGGCTCAAAGTGGTATCTTAGGGAATTAATTTAAATCACATGCTCATATACCTCCCTGCTCATCAAAGCAATGATGCCACAGTTACAGCCACTGCCTTTAATTCATCCTTGAACCAAGCACACCTGTATATGCAGAATTGAAAAAACATTAGGGAAAGGCATCATTGAAAGCATGTGTTCTGCTGCTGTTGATGTGACAATAGCAAGTGTACTATGGATCAGAAATAAAGCAAAGCACCCCTGGAATTGTAACTCTGCTTCCTTGTGCCACCACTGGATTAAATGAGGAACCATTTCTCTGCTTGCTTTTCATTCCAGAGGAGGTTGGAGTTGGTGGTGGGCTGTGGCTAGAAGAGTACTTCAATAGGTCTTTCTGTGCCCAAAATGTGAATCAGAATCTTAAAGGGCAGAACAGAGAGTGAACTCATTAAACCCAGTTGTGATGGTGAAGGTAGGTGGTGAGTAGTGAGTGAATGTAAATGCACTAGGCATGTATGCTGAAATGACAGAGTTTGAGGAGCTGAGCCAAAGTGAAATGCCCCCACTGGCAGCACTCTCGTCTAGAAACGACCATAGTTTTCATACAAGAGGATGGAATGGTAAGAAATGCCTTTTCAGCTATCAACACTGCCACCTTGCTAAAGTTTCTTGATGGGGTGGAGGAAAATAGACCAAACTGTCAGTGATGTTAAAAGCTGAGACATGCATCTTCATCTTTGACAAACTTGGACACAATGAGTGTGCAAAGCCATTTTGATAGGGAATTTGTGCTGAGGCATGTCAGTGTTGACAGAGACCTGGGGGGGTGCCCTCTTGGGAGGGCTGATGTGACTGACCCGACTCTCTCTTGCCAGGCATCCTGTAGACTTTCTTGGTGGCTTTCAGTGTCCTACTCATGCCAGTTGTATTCACCATGGCAACTCTGCCACAAGAGTGACAAACTGACACACTTCTTGTTTTGTCATGAAGGGAGGGACTGTCTGGCTATTTTGTGTGCCATGGGAGAGATGGGAGCTGGTGTGAAGTGAGTCTGTGACCAGGGGAAGCTAGTTTGTGAATAGCTAGTACCAAGAAATGAGACAGGCTCGTCTCCTGTCCTAAGGGGAAGGATTTTGTAAAGGAGGTAGTGGAAGCCTGATTCAGTTTTCTCTTGTGTTGGAATACTTCAGAGTGCCTGTGTCCCCAGCAGGAAGACCAGCTTATAATGGTGCACAGCCTGCATGGTCATTTTATACAGCAAAAGCCACAGTGGTGGATGAAACTACAGTGTCCTGAATGTTTAACTTGGCTAAAAGGATAGGAAATTCAAAGCACGGATTAAAAAATGACTTAATATTTTGGCATTAGGAAAGACTGGCTTTCAACCTTTTGCTGTAATTGCAAAACAAAGTATTTGGGAAATGTTGAGGGTTTTTTTTTGCATTAAAAGCCTCTAGTTTGTTGTGCCTTTGACTGTGCCAGTTTCTGCATAGTGATGGATTATGTCAAGTATTCCTTAAGAGAATCTATCTTCATTGTTTTGTTCTTCATTAATTGCTGCTGTTGTGTTTTGTTTTCTAATGAATGTTTATGCCTGACTGCTCAAATGTCCTGAAGCAAAGATATGATATTTAGGGAGGGTCTATTTAGGAATGATCAGAGAAGCAGTTTCTTGGGCATGGGGAACAACGAAGTTAATTGGGACTCTTGAGCTGGGAAAAGAGATGGTTTAGAGTCATTACAAGTAAAGTCTGCAAAATCATGAATGGTATAAAAAATAGAAAAATAATAGGTTCATTGTGTTGTCCCTTAAAAGATCTGAGCTAGGTCCAACAAACAAGAGGAGACTCATTATACAGTGGGTAACGGAGCTATGTGATTTCTTGCTAAAAGATGTTGTGAATGTAGTAAGTTTACCTGAGTTCAAGGAGAGAGTGGAGAAGTCCATACAAGATAAATACATAAAAAGTTATTAATATAAAAATTGCAGTTGTCTCTGAATGTGATCCCTGGATCCCAAAGAGTTCGAGGTAGGGAGGATATGCTTGTTCTGTTCGTTTTCATTCTTAGGCATCCAGTAATGGCTAGTGACAAAACAATAATTACATTGGGTTAGTTATCCCTTCTGCCCAGCCCTACATGCTCATGTTATCGTATGTTCTTCTGTTGGAGCTGAGTCAAACCGTGGTGGTTTTGGTTACTTCAGACTTATGCATGGGCCATGGTGTCACACTGAGTAAATTTCTGACTAATGTGTTTGCAGTGTTTGACTTGAGAAGGTTCTTCTGTCCTCCCAGGCCGTCAGTCAAGGAACATCTTGGACAGTCCTGAAGTGTAGTGCCTGTTTTGGGGCAAATATTACAATATTTGTTACTATAACTTGATACATTTATAGAGGGTTTCAGATGTGCCTGCCCATTCTCAGATGTCACAGTTCTCCATTGCATCTGGAGAAGAACAGAATGATTTACAGATTGCATGAACTGAAGCATTAAGTGAAAAAAAAAAACTGTTTTGACATGATGGATACTAGACTGCAGATTTTCACTGTTTCTTACTTAATTTGAGAACTTCGTCATTGGAATGAAAAAAAGGCTCCTCAAGGACAGAAACACCTAGAGGGTGCAATCTCACATTTACCTCTCTGCAGGCTGCCAAATGCAGCATATTTTGTAGGAACTATATGATACTTTTGGGAAGCATTGCTGGGGACATGCAGAGAGTTTTAGAAGTTCTGCTCTTCACTGCTAAGCCTGATACGTTGTTCTCTTTCCCCCTCCCCGTGCCAGGGATGTATTTCCACAAGGTCTCCCTGATGAATATGCCTTTGTAACTACCTTCAAATTCCGGAAGGCTTCCAGGAAAGAAGACTGGTATATTTGGCAGATTATTGACAAGTACGGCATTCCACAGGTATGAGGCCCTTTGCAGCCAGCAAGAACAGCCTTGTTTCTCTTTTGCTGCATGAACCAGCTTTCTTGCCTTAACCTCCCACTCTTTTTTCCTTGTGGACTAGTAAAAATCCCTTACCTGTTCATTTTGCCGAAAATCTTTTACCTCTAATTCAAACCCTGAAGGAAGGTTTGCATAGACCTTGGTAATTGTTTGCATGCAGATAGATGTGTGTGTTGGAAATGCGAAGAAAAATATACCATCCTTGCTTTTGAAACCACTTTTGGATTGTTGGTTGTTTTATTCAGGTAGTTCTGTTTAAGGAAAATATTTTGCCTGTTTGGAAAAGGTTTGCCACACAGATATACTACAGAGCAATGAGCTATGGCATGTTTTTGCACAGACTTCTAGATATCATGCAAAGGTATTATGGGTTCCCTACTTAGGATGTGGATATAACACCTACTATTACTCCAAAACTGTGAGTCCTTGCTGCTGCAGAGTTTGATCTAATAATTTTTGTCAAGTACTCTCAGGTTCTCAGTAGAAAAATACCATAAGAGTGCAATAAAGGACTGTCCATTCCTATATAGCATGTTCTTAGCAGCATTCTAAAGTTTAGGGGGTTCAGTGTGCTTGAGGAAGGAGTAATTTCAATGGGCTGTACATTTTCCTGCTCAGTACAAGCATGGTTCTGATGGCATTATCCTTGATTCTAAACTGGGCTGTCAGCATGAGCTCACATAAGCATGTGACTCAGTATTGCTGCTTTGAGACTGGTATTCAAAAGGATTTTGGGAACTCACAATGCAGTTTGAGAACTTAGGTAACTGAGTTTCATACAACGGTAAAAGTTTTATATGAAAATTATTATCAGCTGCACTTTGTTAAATTAAACATGATTTACTGTGTTACATGTGTTCCTACTTCACGCAGAGTGAGAATGTGTATATCACTCAGTGTTTCTTGGAGACATGAAAACTTGAACTGCTTAGGTGTGGGAGAAAAGAGCACTCAAGATTCTCAGTAATATTTTCAAACATGTCCTAAATTGTGGTGCCAGAAGTGCCTTAGAGACTCATGAGTCTTGTTTCATGTAAAGTTGATAGTGGTTTGGCCACTGCATTGCAGACCTGCATAGCTTATAGACTGCAGACACTGCTGAGATAACACTGATCCGAACTGGCATTTCCAGCCAGCACGGTGCTCAGCTGCATGGAGATGTTAGGTCAGATCTGGAGTCAGCCTTCTCTGGGCTGCTTACATCAGATATGGCTTAGTGCTGATGTGGTCAAACTCCTTCCAGCTCTGCAGCTTGTGAATGCACCATTTGTTCCTCCTGGCTCTGTGCTTTGCTCTATTCCCTGCTGCTTGCTTGTAACTGCCTGATTTTGGTAAAAAAAAAAAAAAAAAAAAAAAAAAATCAATTTGTAAATGAACTAGGAGTGTAATGTCTTCAAAAGCCTATTTTTGCCTGTTCCATAGCTTATAACACAGTGAGCGGGTGTAGCTGTAGTTTTCTGTTCAAAGTATCTGAAGTAAAGTGTGGGAAGTGCTACTGCTCAGCAGACTGGTTTTATACCAGGCAGTGAGGTATTTGTCCATGCCCCATGGGACCATTGACAACACGTGATAGGATTAAAGAGCACAAAGCCTGCCGGGAAGTAGTGGAGGAGTGTACAGGATAGAGGGATCCAAAACAGGTTCAGCTTTGTCTACGCGCCTTTGAGGATATGCCCCTGACATGTGCTACCACCCAGCCATGCCCAGTCATTGCCTGGGAGGCATCAAGGCGGCATGTGCTGAAACCATGTAAAGGATTGTACTCACAAGAGAAAGCTTTAGATGGTCATGAGTCTGCACCCAAGCCTGTGCCCTGCCCCATCTTATTTACTAGAACAAGTGTAGGGTTCCTGTCCATATCTCACACAAAACTGTCCTCTGCTCTTTGCTTGGGCTTCTCACCACATGCTGTATCATCCCTGAGTTTGAGGTATCAGTTGTCATGGAAAGCAGGCAAGAGGAAGGAGAAGGCTTTGTACTTTCTTAGAAAAATCATTTCTGTCTGCTTTCAGGTCTCGATACGACTGGACGGAGAGAACAAAGCTGTAGAGTACAATGCTGTTGGGCTTACTAAGGACGCAGTGAGAGTGGTCTTCCGAAATGCACAAGTTGGTGATCTTTTTGACCGCAACTGGCACAAAATCGCCCTCAGCATTCAGTCAAAGGCTGTCTCGCTTTACATAGACTGCAGACTGGTGCAGATGCTGCCTATTGAAGACAGGGAAAATATTGACATTCAAGGAAAGACTGTGATTGGCAAACGCTTGTATGATAGCGTTCCCATTGATGTAAGTACTGTGTGTGCCAATTACAGCTGGGGTAATGTTCAGCACTAGGTTTGCATCATGTGAATGGGGTTTTGGGCGTTATGTTGTAATTGACCCTTTTCCTGAAACAACATCACTGAAACATTACCTGTGTTACACAACTAAGACAAACTGGCACCTCATCATGTGCAAGACTTTCTCTCTTTTTATGTGAGACTGTTAGTATCTCTGTAAAAGTAATTAAAAATGAGAAATCTTTCATCTTTATGTCTAGTCTCAGAATGTGCTATAGTTAAAATAGGAGACAAAATCATCCACAAATACCATCAACTGGGTACTGAATTGCACATGTAAAGGTTTTTTGCTGTCTGATCTTGGCATTATGACTATTTCTACCTGTGATAGAAAGATATGGGGAAAGGAAGAAAGCTTGTTAACTCAGAAGAATCATGATATATTCTCAGTTCCTCAGAAAAGATACCTGATATTAAATGACTCTTGCTCCAATTGAACTGAAGTTGAGAACTGTAGTTTGGACCTGATTGTCCTGTAGCAGTGTTAACCTGGTATAACTTATGCATGATTGTTTGGTGTTTGGAGACTTGTGTAATCTTTCTTAGCTGTGCAAAATGGATGGAATGTACATATTAAATGTGCTAATAGCATTTCTCACACAGGGGTAAATGGTCAGAAGATGCAAGGCACAACAGGAGAAATACAAACTTTATGTGCAGATGAAATTGTAGGAAAGATAGAGGTGGTCAAAATACATCTTCTCAGACAGAAATTTGGCCAGGACATGTGGATTACCATCCCTCCTTATTTGCATGAAAACCTGCACCAGAATTTTAATAGGCATATTCAGGGTCTCATTAGCTCAGCACTCTTGGAGCACGCTGAGATATTTGTCCATTATTGAGAGAGAGATATTGACTACAGGATCCATAGAATCACTGTGAAGTTAGTCCCATCTGGCTTTTGTTTGTATTCATCTGCACTGTTTTTATCCAAGCAAAAGGATGTGTGGTCTTTAATAATTCACTGTCTCTGAGACTATTGTCTCACTTTGTCTTCTAGTTTGATCTTCAGCGAATGGTTATTTACTGTGATTCTCGGCATGCTGAGCTGGAGACCTGCTGTGACATTCCCTCTGGACCAGTAAGCTTCTTTTTGTCATTTACTCATTTTCACATGAACACTTTTCATTGAAATCTATTACGTAAATCAGGGAATGTATGGCAGTCTGGGATTATAATTTTGTTAATGATGGTGAATGAAACATAGCTATATAATTTGTAATGTAGCAGTGCCAGAAGAGGACCATTGCAGAGGGATGAGTATAAGGAATTTGAAGTTTCCAAGTTGCTCTTTCCTTGTCAAACTGTCAAGGGAAACAAAACCCCGAAGTGATGAAGGAACAACAGAAATACAGCATGAAATATTCAACATGTTTCCCACTGGTTTTATTTGGGAAGAGCTAAACCAGTGCCAGTTGCTGCTTAGTTTCCTGTGCCCAGCCCTCATTAGAAACTTCCACCCTCCTTTCACTCTTCTTCCCTCTGTCTTGGTTAAAGAGATTCATTGTTCATTTTGCCACATTTTTTGCTATTGCTTGAATGAATGGCTTTTGTGGGATTTTTTTCCTCACTAGCACTCATTTAGCTGTGTGTATTCCAGTAATGCCTATGTGGTTTCTCTAAAGTGGGTGGAAGAGGAAGCTTTCTAGCATCGAAGGCTTCATCATGACCTTGGGTGTTTGGGTGTAGTGCCAGGTCACGGTCCTGACAGAAGCACCTCCCCTGGAAGTGAAGCCCACTGTTGGCAGCGAGCAAGTGGGTCACCTCAAGACTGTCAACTGCTCCTGTCCTGCTGGACAAAAGGTGGGTGCTGAGATGAGTGTGTTTCATTTGAGGCATGCTAGATATGTTTGGAAATAGGGGTATGACACCGTGCAAGTGAGTTATAAGAAGGGCTGTGTTTGTGAATCACTTCAAGACCTAGAGGTGGAAAGCACTTCACAGAAGGAGCTAGACATGTGTTATTCACAGATGGGATGTCTGTAGAGGTAATGTCATTCTTTCCAGGTGTTTTCTGTCTACCTAATTGAGTGATTTTGATCATTCTGGTAGTCCTGGTAAACAACCATGAAAATAAAATGATTCTTCTAATCCAGCCCAGCTATATTCATCCTTCTTCAAATAAAGAGATTCAGAAAGTAAATATAGCCACACTGAAAATGTCTCATAGCTTTTAAAATCAGTGTGCTTGCATATATTGGCTGTGACTGGTATCTCTGAAGAAGCCAGCTTCATTGTCATTGCTCTTGAGGGCATGTCAGTTTTAGTCTGTTCTCCACTAAAACCTGAAAACATTTTTGCTCTCCTCAGTTGTTGTAGGATTGGGCTCCTTGCTTTGTTATGTAATGAGAAGATCAGTCTGACTAATTATGTTTTTTTTTTGCCTAGGGAGAGAGAGGTCCAATTGGCCCTGAAGGTCCTAAAGGTCAAAAGGTCAGTAAAATGTACTGTTTCACTTGTTTAATAAAAACAACACCAGCACAACAGTTTCAGAATTAATTGAGGAGTTGAAGATTTTGAGAAATCTTTCTGAGAAAGATTCATATGATTGAATTCAGATAGTCTTGGATGAGTCTGGGACTGCAGGAGCCTCTGTCCATCTTGTATATTTGCTCAAGTCTTGCATTTGCGCTTCTCTATTGCTGCTTTATGTCATTCTTAGAGTAAGTGTGTTCCAAAATATTTTCCTTTAGCTTTTAAATTGGCATTTTTGCAAGTTTGTGTTATTCAGTAGGTCACACACAGCTTTCATGGTAAGTCACCTGGAAAACTATGTGCTGCTTCAGTGATGTGCCTTGCTCAGCAGTACTAGATATCCATAGGTTAGGTAGCATCCTCCCAGTCACACTCAACAGTGTAGGTAAAGAATTAGCCACAATCTGTTATCCTTAGCAAGACTGTCTGAGTCATGATGTTAAATATAGGCCACTTTCCTCAGTAGTCTTCCTAGGGTAGGAGAGTAGTTGTAATGTCTGCTTCAAGTTTCACAGTGCAGCCACTTATGTTATCCTGCATATTCTGCAAGATTCTTTGATATGCACTTGTGCATTCAACGTACACACATTTTCCTTCTGTGATTGGTTACAAATAGAGCTGTGAGACAGTTGACTTAAAGGGAGCACTTGTACTGGAAGAAAACAAAGATTCACAACATCGCTGAAGAGGTGAAAGTTGATGGTGTTGGTGGTTTCCAGTTCCACCATCTGTGTGATTAAAAACATGTTTGGAAACAATTTGTATTTAAAACTATTTCCATCTGAATCACTTCTGCAAATTCTATCACTGAATTTATACCTGTTGAATAAATGAATGGCACTCCACCAAAAGTTACTCAATTATTATGAAAGTCTGTGGAAGGGGAAAGGAGAAATCTCTGGGTCTTGGAAGGACAGACATCCTCAGCAATGTGTTGTGGGTTTTTTGGCAAGGCTTGGTCTGCCATATGCAGGGAGAAGTTTTGATGATGATGAGATGTGTGTTGGAGTGTTTTCTGCTGGTATGAAAGAACATGGGTGCATTAATGCTCAGATATGCCTGACTGAAACTGCAGAAAATGTTTCCTGATGCTTCCACACATATATAAATAGAAACTTTCTATTTTAATCTGTGACAACTCAAATAATGATGGGCTGTTTTGAAGAATGGCAGAGCCATGGGTGTTGTGAGGAGGTTGCAGAAGGATGATGATGATAATAATAAAAGCGCCCTGCAGCAACATCCCATTGTCTTTCACTGTTTTGACAAGGTCTATGCGCTAGTGAGGAAGGTCTTTAATGTCTAACATAGCACGCTGCTGGGGCACAGGAGATACTAGCCGAATACAAAATAGTGTATATCCAAGCACAGCATTAACAGGTTTTCTGTAACAGATCCTGGAATGGCTGTCCCACTCCTGCAGGTGAGTTGCTAAAGAGCTCTGCAGATTTGTGTGACTTTTCCCTGACTATAGTATTCTGAGACTTGTATACAACTGAGGCAGGACTGTGTCACAGTCTCAGGGAGCTGGGGATGATGCCATTTAAATCCAGGCTGTGACAACTATTTGGTACAAATATTATGAATTGAGATGATTGACTTAGCTTCTCTAGCTGCTAAATAAGGCAAGTAATAGCTTTTGCTCCTGGCTTGCAAAGATATTATGAGATAACTTATACCAACTTTGAAAACAGTTTTTTCATTGCTATTGCCAAGGACCAGCTTGTCACCATCCCTCCTTTATGTGCAGGAACTACTATCTCTCCCCTCCTCCCTCACAACATTACTGAGCTACCCAGGCTAAAGTGCTGGCCATGGGGAAGAAAGTGAATGCTATTTACAACTCTCTAATATTACCACCTGGTAATAATTATGGAAAGACTAAGGCCTCACAAAAATATGAGTGGCTGCTGCATTATGTAGTTGCAGGTGTCCATAATCTCTTTTAGGATCATTCAACTTGGTTCCTCATTTCTAAAGCTTTGTTGTTGTGTAATGAGGAGGGCTGTAAAGCTTTTTTAAGATAATCAATATCAAAGATTTCCTTTTGTTACTTGAATCCAAGAGCTGGGGCTTCAAGAAAGACTTAAAAAAAAAAAAATCATAAAATCTCTACTATACTCTTAGGTTTGATTAAAACATGTTAACAAGTGAGTACAGCATAAAAAAAGATGAAGGATTAAATGACTAAACAGAGAGGTGGAAGTAAACAAAAGAATAAGGAAAGAAATTATCAGAAATTTGGAAAGAATGACATCAGAACTCTGAGTCAAAATTCATCATTTTCTTTATAGACATCATCACTACTGGGTATCTCGTATTTGGGATGAACTGCAAAGCTGAAATCTACCCCTAAATAACTGGGGACAAAGTGATATTTAAGTAAAATGCAGGTTCTTGAGCATTATCCAAAAATATTTTACAACCTGATAGTGAGAAATGCTCTCTGAGATGCTATATGGCCATGTATGAACCCAGGAAAGCAGCTAGTTCAGCTGTATCAGAAAACAGCACACAGCTGGTGAGAGTTACCTAAGAAATGAGACCCACCAGGGGATACTAATAGGGGCAGAAGTCAGTGTTAAAAAAAAAAAACAAAACACCCCCTTTGCCTCAAAGGAAGGAACTTTGGAGAGGCTGACAAAGGCAGGAGGATGGTGAAGCTCCTTTTCTTATCTAAGACAGCTTTGGGGTTTAATTTTGTTTTGTTTTCCCTAGACCAGTAGTAGCTGGTGGCTTTTTCACTCTCCATCCAAAGAAGGAATAATGGCTAGGAGATTCTTTCTGTTTTATTTTTTTTAAAAAAAGGACAGTTTGAGGGTCTGTTAAATAAAATGAATGCGTCTGTCTGAGTTGAAGGTGGAGTGACTGGTGTTCAGGCTCTGCTATCCTGAGCTCCCATAGCATATTCTTTCTTTTAGGGGAGGATGTTTGGACGGGCTTTTCTTACAGTACCATTTGACCAGTGGAAATACTTGAAGTGTATAACCAATGTGGGAAGATAATGAGTTTCTGTTCCTCTCTAGTTTAAGTCTTCAAAGGCAGGGCAAAACAGGAGTACTTGCAGTTATTAGAAAAAGTGAAAAAAATCCCTCAGAGATGAACACTTCTGCCTCAATCACCCAAGTTGCCAAACTGAGGATAATGCATGGAGACACAGTGTACATGTTTTGGAAGGAGATACAGTAAAGGATGGTATTGGGGAAGAGCAAGACAAGAAATAGCTTTGGAAGAATTGGTTAACATGCCTGAAGCTAGGTCCTACTGATAAATTTTAGATGCTAACGGCAGCCCAGCTTAATTTATTTTCCTTCTGTAATCGCTCTGCATGGTGTATTGTTTGCAGTCAGCTGGGCTAGCTGGTTGAGGCACTGGGCTGATGGTCAACAGGCTTCTGCTCTTTTCCAGCACTGCTATCGATCTGAGTTTAGAGAAAATCACTTATCTGTGAGATCTGCTTTTGTCCACATCATAGGAATGACATTGCTTATCTGCCTTTGGGAAGTTTGTGAAGTCCAGTGTATTAGACATGCTCTAGTGGGATGTATTTTTTCCTTCAAATTAGAAAGTAGTTTTGGTGTACTTTAAGTGACTTAAATGAAATGGTTGCATATAAACTTGTGAATTTTGCTACAGCCTATTTGAATTGACTGTTTTTTTGTATATATGCTACTTGCTCTCTAAGGTTTCTTTCTTTTGGCAAAGGAATGATAAGGGTTAAAGAAAGAAACTTAAATATTTCTTGTTCTTTCAAAACCCTATCTTCATCTGGGGAAAAGAAAACATAATTCCAGTAAATGTTTCAGTGCCTGGTTCAGCATTTTTTTGGGTCAGAGATCAGGACAAATTGAATAGAGCCACAAAATTAAATCCTACTGTGGTCCATGTGGGGAGATTTGAGGAGTGCAGTGGTCACTGAACTACTTGCTACTCTGGTACTAGAGGGTCTTGCTCCAGGTCCGAGACTTTTTCAGATTGATAGAGTGTCTACACTAAAGTCCAAAGTGCCCAACCTCCCTACAAGCAGAAGATGATGTGAAGTACAAGTAGGTGAGGACATCATATTTATTAGTGATGGGTGGGGAGCTCAGCACAGCTTATTACTGGTATATACCTTTTGGGTGAGAATTAGGCAGGAGCTATGCAGTGTGTGGGCAGAGCCCTCTCTGTTCCTGCTGCTAGAGGAACTGAAGGCACTGATGGCAACACTGCACGTAGCCTTAAGCTAGTCTTAGTAGTGGGTATATCCTCAGCTGGTCCTTATTACAGTTTTGTGACTGCAGAGCAGTATGTGATAAAGATTTGTAGGTATTTTTTCTGCATTTGCTGTTTTTTGCACCACTTTTAGTTCTGTATCTGATGAATATTTATGAAATGATGCATCTTCTTTGATTCTTTATCCCTTTCACCCCTGTCCTTTTTAGAGACAAGTGAAAAAAAAAGTTTTGCTTGGTTTTTGATTTACCATTTTTCTCTTTTCCTCCTTATGCATTTGATTCTTCAGTTTTCCTTCCTCTACCAATCGTAATTTGTATGTTTTCAACTGCCTTTTTTCCGTGCTCCCTTCCCTCTCTCGCAAGCAGGGAGAACGACTCCATGTTGCACATTTCTGTGAGGGAAGGGAAGAGTTGGCTGATCATGAAAATTTAACATGAATGAAAATGATGGGTTTTGAATTTTTAAAAAAATAGGTCTCAAATCGTGACTCTTTAGAGGTTTTTTTTTCCATATTTTAGGTATACACCCTCTAGGTCTTATGCAAACTACCTTTCCAAGTCCTTCCTGGCTTAATAGAAAATAAGGACTTTTAAAGTACCTCACAAGAGAAAGCTCCCTGCCTTGATAGTGCACTCTGAAGGCCTCTAGGAGTATTTTCATATGAAAAATAGAATATAAAGTCTAAGAACTTTGACATTTAAGTCAGTATAAATGCAATGAGGTACACCCAGTTCTTACGGCAGGAGCTGAAATCTTGGCTGTAGAGACTGGTGGGACTGGAAGTATCCACAGTCTCAGTCAAACCCTTGTGGCATTGCTTCCCGAAAAATCAAAGCAATGGAAAGCTGACCACAAAATACAAACACTAATGTGGTATACTTCACAAATGAGTCCAACAGGAAGTGCTAAGAGGAAATCTCACCTTTTATTTCTATATCTGTCGAGAAACGAGTTGATTCATTCTATGGTATTAACACCCTTTCTTTTTCAAGGGAGAAAGTGGCAGCCAAGGGCTTCCTGGACTCAGAGGAGAAAAAGGAGAATCAGTAAGTAAGAAATACCAGAATGATTTTATGTAAGGAGATGGAAATTCTAGTAGTGGTTTTCTCCTTTATGATGAGAACTTGCTTACGATGTCAACGATGTGCTCTGTTGAATATGTTCCCTCTGAAGGGCCTTAATCCCAGGGGGAAACTGATATTTCTGGCACCCATGGTCAGTTTTTGGAGGTGGGGAAATGAATAAGTTCATCCCTGAATACAGCTGATAAATGACTTAGTATTGGCCATCTAATTAAAATATGTAACTTGGGTGTACTTGATTATAACACAGCTGCACATCTAATGGGGGCAGGATGAGGCAACTGAGCACAAAGATGCAAATCTCTCTCAACTCTTTTACATTCAGATGACCAAGATACAGCTTTCATCAGCTGCAAGTAATGCAAATGTCAGACTGAGTTTTTAGGCGAGAAAATCTTTAACTCTATGTAAAATTCATTCTAATAAGGATTGTTGTCATCTTTGATTTTGGAAATGTAATATCAGACACTGCACCGAATAGAACACAAGATGTTTTCCTGACTGAAATAGAAGAATTTGGGATAGGTTTTCTATTTTAATTTATCACTGAATTACTAGCAAGGGATTATGCCCAATGAAAATTACTTTCCTTATAGTAGCTGTCCTGTGACTTGTGTGTCTATATATATATATGTGTGATAAATATGGATAGATATATCACAGATATATAACAAGGAAAACATGAAATATATATTTAGTGTCATTTGACATCCTTGCTATCAAATGTACCTTTTCCCTTTTTCTTTCATTTCTAGGGTAGAGCCTATGGTAGAGGAGAAAAAGGAGAAAAGGTAAGGTCTGATCCTTCATTGGACTAATTAAATGAGATTCACTTGCTGTTGCCTTCCATAGCTCAGAGGTTGCTTTTGGAGTACACAGGATGCAAGAGATGTGATACAGTTAGATCTTTGTGGGGAACCTTTATATTATGCTATGCCTCTTTCTGCAGAAAAGCTTTTGCTTTTCCTCTTAATGTTCTTTGAGTTTCCTTTATGCATTGGCCATGTAAAATGCAATCAAATTGAAATCATAATCTTTGCTTTATGTAAGCAGCAGTGAGTTCATAGAGGATAATGCAGTAAAGCAACTGGCTGGAAGGATGAAAACCAAAGGGAAAGTATAATATTGAGTTTATTTAATTTTTAACAGGATTAAAGTTGCGTCATGAGGAGGCTCTCACAGTGTTTCTCTTCATTGGATATTTTAATTAATAACTTGAAGAATAAAAGCCGGAGTATTTTCTTACTGCAAATATTAAGCAGGATGTACTATTAAGATTTGGGTGTAAGCAGCTGCGTGGTGCTCAGTTGCCCTCTGAGCTCAAACCATGACAGGAGGTTAACACCGAGGATACAGAATAACCACTGAAAATTGCTAGGTTATCTATTTTGGAAAATGCATTCAATGCTGATCAATAATGAGAAACAAGTAGCATAACTGGACTAATTTGCATCAAAAAATATGTTGTTTTTCAGGCAATTCTGGAAGCTGCAAGCTTCCCATTCCCCACAACAAAATGAGGCTGCAGGCTTATACTGCAGAGAAGTAGTAGCTCTTTCTCTCTGTAGCTCCATATCACACTTGGTTGTGGACATTTTTCTTATCACCCAACTGAAATTTCTAGTTGTGGGGAACAATGGAAAAGATTGACAGGACAGTCTAGGAGATAGATAGATGTATTAAGGAAGAAGTCGTGGTTCATACTGAAAATGAGATTAAGAATCTGTGGAGCAGTTTTCCAGAGGGCCTGTGGCTACCTGATAGCTCAGGGAATTAAAATAGTATTGGCTTGTGGTCTGAGAGGAAGAATGCTGCACTAGCGAGAACATGGCATTTATGACCATTGCATCTTCTCATTTGTTCTTTCTATGATTATGATATATTGATTGTATATAGTGGTAATGCATCATGTGAAATTACAATCTAAATGAGGGTTGTTCATGGCAGGAAATATTATCGAGCCAGGCTAGAGACATGGGGGCTGTAAAGCACACATTTCTTCATCCATCTTCCTGCAGTCTTCCCACTGACAGCCACTATTTAGCCTTTGAGACTCAGGATTCAGCCTTTGGAAACCAGCTGATGGTTGGCAGGTGGTGAGAGTCAGCAGTCTGATGGGAAACATGATGTTTACAATATGAGTTGTGCTGCAGTTGAAGCATATTCTTGTTTTCTTATGTTTTGATCCCCGCAGAAAAGTGTTAGAAAACATCACTCCATCTGTATTATTGTTGTGTCTAGAAAAATATGTCTGAAAGTCTAGATTGGAGAGGGAAAAGTAAAAAGACCCCACAGTATGTGCAGAACTTCTTTGATTGTGATATCCAAACAACATTGACTGTCTCAAATGTGTATACACAGAGATCCCTGAATTTATGACCAGCTTGTTTCATTTATTTGGTACTCCTGCCAGCCAAGGCAGCTTGTCCTCATCTGTGGAGGAAATGTATTTGGTACCTGATATGTTTGTGCCCCATGTCTGCCCAATGGCTGAGTGTCATTCCTGTTGCTGATGGAGAGCAAAGATTTATCAGCTGTACATTGCTGGCTTGATTAAAAACAGGAAGCCTGGGGGATGTAGAAACATGGAATATCTCAAGTTGGAAGGGACCAATAAGGATCATCAAGTCCAACTGCCTGCTCCTCACAGGACTACCTAAAACTAAATCATATGACTAAGAGTGTTGTTCAGACTCTCCTTGAACTCTGACAGGCTTGGTGCCATGACCACTTCTCTGGGGAGCCTGTTCCAGTGACTTACCACCCTCTCAGTGAAGAACCTTTTCCTAATCTCCAGTCTGAACTTCTCCTGATGCAGCTTCATCCCATTTTCTCGTGTCGTATTGCTGGTCAACAGAGAGAGATCAGCACGTCCTATCTACTGCCCTCCTTGAGGAAATTGTAGACTGTGATGGGGTCACCCCTCAGCCTTCTCTTCTCCAAGATGAACAAGCCAAGTGACCGCAGCCACTACTCCTAAGTCTTACCCTTGAGGCCTTTCACCATCTTGGTTACCCTCCTCTGGGTACTCTCTAATAGTCTGATGTCCTTATATTGAGGCACCTAAAACTGCACAAGTATTCAAGGTGGGGCTGTACCAGTGTGGTGTAGAGAGGGACAATCACCTCCCTTGACTGGCTAGCTGTGCTGTGCTTGATGCACCCCAAGACATGGTTGACCCTTTTGGCTGCCAGGGCACACTGTTGACTAATATTCAAGTTGCCACCAACCCAAATCCCCAGATCTCTTTTCATGGGGCTGCTTTCCAATATCTTGTCTCCTGATTTGTATGTATAGCCAGGATTACCCTATCCCAGGTGGAAAATTGTGCACTTGCTTGTGTTGAATTTCATACAGTTGGTGATTGCCCAACTCTCTAGTCTATCCAGATCTCTCTGTAAGACCTCTCAAGCCTTGAGGGACTTCACAGCTCATCCTAGTTTAGTTATCATCAACAAACTTACTTAATGTACATTTGATTCCTGCATCCAGATCATTTATAAAATCATTGAAGAGCACTGGCCCTAAAATTGAGCCCTGCGGAACACACTAGTGACTGGCCACCAGCCTGATGTAACCACATTTACTACAACCCTTTGAGCCCAAACCATCAGCCAGTTGCTCACCCAACGTATTAAGGACTTGTCTCGCAGTGAGATGGACATTTTGCCCAGAATGATACTGTGAAAGACAGTATCAAAAGCTATGCTAAAATCCAAACCCAACCACATCTCCTAGCTTCCCTTGGTCAACTAGATGGGTGACCTTGTCATAAAAGGAAATTAAGTTGGTAAAGCAGGATTTTCCCCTTGTGAACACTTGCTGGCTGTGACCGATGACTGCGCTGTCTCTCAGGTGTTTTTCAATAACTCTCAGAATAATCTTCTCCATAATTTTTCCAGGCACTAAAGTGAGACTGACAGGCCTGTAGTTAGCAGGGCCTACCTTCTTGCCCTTCTTGAAAACTGGGACATTTGCTAGCTTCCAGTTGATTGGGACCTCTGCAGACTCCTAAGACCTTGCTGATGTGCTGCAGCCTGTTTACTCACTCTGATCATGGGTTGCTAGTTCCCCCCAGGGTAGCTTGGCTTCAGTTGTTCCTGGTCTCCTCAGCTGCTATGGCACAAGCTGTGGGCTCCTGGTGGGTGTCTCTGCTCCTCTCAGGTTCCTCTGGTTCAGGAAAGTTCCCTGTACACCAAGCTAGAAGAGACTGCGGCTGATCGTGTCAGCATCAGAGCTGCTCACCTTGGTGATCTGTTTGCATGTATAATTTTTCCTGAACACAAAAGATCATCTTCAGGTGCAAAGATAAACTTTCAGCAGCAGAAAGGGGTAGGACTATAAAGGTGGGGGAGATCAGCCATGTAGACAGCGTACATACGGTTGCTTCTGTGTGCAGGGATGGAGTACCATGTCTGTGTCTTGGTGTCAGAAGAAGTGCCTGTGAGAGTGAAGTAGCCACAGCCATGGGCAGATGTGATGCAAGTGCCTGCAATGGTAGTTGTCATCTATACTCCTGAAAAAAAGAAGAGAGTCTATGAAATTAAACCCTTCCCAGACAGGAGAGGACCTGGAAGGAGAGGATTCACATGTTTCTGTCTTTGCCTTCTGTGCTGCAATGGCTGCATGAGCATGAATTCTTGTCTTTGACTCTGGCTGTGACAGCTTTATGCTTCCTTGGTTTTTATGGGTATGGGTCAGTGCTAGGAAACTGGATCAGAAATCCTGGGTTTCAAACACTTGCAGTCTGTGCAATCATTGCTGTGCAAATGCTGTGGGCTCCTTTATAAGGACAAAGCTCACATCCTAAATGTTGATAGAATAAAGTTATCTCACCTTTGAAAAGGCTGAGATGACAAGATGAATATCGTCCACTTACAGTATTTCTTTCCAGCTGTGCTAGTGCCAAACACCTGCCAGATCATGCTGTTCCCAAGTATTGTGTGTAGGGCAATTATGTGAGGTCTGAGGCATTTGTTAGAGGGCAAATCCTGTGCTTTTCGAGGAGGACGGCAGAGGCACTGGCCTTGCTTCTCCGGGCCATTTCCTTAGTAATATCACTAAGTTGAAGCCAACATGGTGCTTGTATTATAATACTTAACATACTAAGTACATCATTAGTGGTAAACCAAAAGATAGTAGCAGCTGCAGCTAAAAACCTAATTCATGTTGACATGAGGTCTTGTGTGACTTTGAAAACCAGGAAATTCACTGTGATGGCTGAAGCAACAGCCCAGCATGTTCTACCAGGCCTAAATATCTCAGCCTGGTAGAGGAGACTTTTTGTGTACAGAAACATGCATATGCAGACCAAGTAATTGTGCATAGTTATAAAAAAATAATATTGTATCTACAGGTAACATTGTATCTCTTGTAAACTGCTCTTAGGTGGATTTCCTAGGTAGGTGTGATTCAGCTGCTACTGCTCCATATTAGATCTTAAATTTCCACTCTAGACTATCATCTTTCAGCCCTTGGAGTGTTTAATCTCTATGGTATTAAATGTAGTTTGTCATATTTCTGCTCATAAATCTGTGTCCCTTTACTGTGTGTTCATTCACTTGTTTTGCACATTCTTATGTTATTGAACTGGTTATTAAACATGGGCAAATATCCAATTCTATAACATGATCACCATGAAGGGCAATGTTTTGGCTTTATTCTGAAGGTTATTCAAATGGATATTTGCTAGACCAGATGGCTTGGTCCTTCAAAGGTTATAACTCAAATCTTCAAATCTCTGTTGATCCAAGAGGAGTAGGTGCAGGAGAGAAGTGAGGACAGAAGGCAC